TGGCTGTTGGTTGTTGGTTGTTGGTTGTTGTTGGTTGTTGTTGGTTGTTGTTGTTGGTTGTTGTTGGTTGCTGTTGCTGTTGCTGTTGCTGTTGCTGTTGTTGTTGTTGTTGTTGGTTGTTGTTGGATGTTGTTGGTTGTTGTTGGTTGTTGTTGGTTGTTGCTGGTTGTTGCTGGTTGTTGTTGTTGCTGTTGGTTGTTGTTGTCGTTGTCGTTGTCGTTGTTGTCGTTGTTGTCGTTGTTGTCGTTGTTGTCGTTGTTGTTGTTGTTGTCGTTTTTGTTGTTGTTGCTGCTGTTGTTGCTGCTGCTGCTGTTTTTGTTGTTTTTGTTGTTGTTGCTGTTGTTGTTGTTACTGCTGTTCCTGTTGCTGTTGCTGTTGTTACTGTTGTTGCTAGTGTTCTTGTTGTTCTTGTTGTTTTTGTTTGACGTATGTTGTTTGGCATTTGTTGTTTGGCGTTTGTTGTTTGGTGTTTTGTTGATTTGGTGTTTGTTGTTTTGTGTTTGTTGTTTGGTGTTTGTTGTGTGCTGTTTAAGTGTGTGTTGTTTGGTGTGCGTTGTTTGTTGGTGTTTGTTGTTGTTATTGTGGTTGTTTTGTTTGTTGTGGTTGTTTTGATTGCTGCAGTTTTTTTTTTTGCAGTAGTAGTAGTAGTAGTCGTAGTAGTAGTAGTAGTAGTAGTAGGAGTAGCAGCAGTAGCAGTAGCAGTAGCAGTAGCAGTAGCAGTAGCAGTAGCAGTAGCAGTAGCAGTAGCAGCAGCAGTAGCAGTAGCAGTAGCAGTAGCAGTAGCAGTAGCAGTAGTAGTAGCAGTAGTAGTAGTACTAGTTGTTGTTGTTGTTGTTGTTGTTGTTGTTGTGGCGGTGGTGGTGGTGGTGGTAGAAGTAGTATTAGTAGAAGTAGTAGAAGTAGTAGTAGTAGTAGAAGAAGAAGTAGAAGAAGTAGTAGAAGAAGAAGAAGTAGAAGTAGAAGAGTAGTAGTGGTAGTAGTAGTCGTCGTGGCAGTAGTGGAAGTAGTAGAAGCAATAGTAGCAGTAGTGGTAGTAGTAGTAGCAGTAGCAGTAGCAGTGGCAGTGGTAGTTGTTGTGTTGATGTGTTCTTGGTGGTGGTGGTGTTGGTGTTGGTGTTGTGTTGTTGTTGTTGTTGCTGGTGGTGGTGGTGGTGGTAGTGGTGGTTGTGGCGGCGGCGGCGGCGGTGGTGGTCGTGGTGATGTTGTTGGTGGTGGTGGTGGTGTTGGTCTTGGTGGTGTTGGTGTTAATGCTGATGTTGTTGTTGTTGTTGTTGGTGGTGGTGGTGGTGGTGGTTGACAGTGTGTTGTGTGTGTGTGTGTATTGTGTTTGTTGTTATGTTGTTTGTTTGTTTGTCTGTTTGTCTGTTTGTCTGTTTGTCTGTTTGTCTGTTTGTCTGTTTGTCTGTTTGTCTGTTTGTCTGTTTGTCTGTTTGTCTGTTTGTCTGTTTGTTTGTTTGTTGGTTTGTTGGTTTGTTGGTTTGTTGGTTTGTTGGTTTGTTGGTTGGTTGGTTGGTTGGTTTGTTGGTTTGTTGGTTTGTTTATTTGTTTGTTTTATTTATTAATTGTTGGTGTTGTTGGTGTTGTTGGTGTTGTTGGTGTTGGTGTGTTGTTGTTGTGTTGTTGTTGTGTTGTTGTTGTGTTGTTGGTGTTGTTGTTGTGTTGTTGTTGTGTTGTTGTTGTGTTGTTGGTGGTGTTGTTGGTGTTGTTGTTGTTGTCGTTGTTGTTTTTGCTGTTTGTTGTTTGTTGCTTGTTGCTTGTTGTTTGTTGTTTGTTGTTTGTTGGTTGTTGGTTGTTGTTTGTTGTTTGTTGTGGGTTATTGTTGTTGTTGTTGTTCTTGTTGTTCTTGTTGTTGTTTCTTGGATGTTGGTTGTTGGTTGTTGTTGTTTGTTGTTGTTTGTTGCTTGTTGCTGTTAGTGTGTTAGTGTGTTAGTGTGTTAGTGTGTTTGTTTGTTAGTGTGTTAGTGTGTTAGTGTGTGTTTGTTTGTTTGTTTGTTTGTTTTTGTTGTTGTTGTTGTTGTCGTCGCGGGTGCGGCTTCTATCGCTACTGTTTTTGCCAGCTGGCCGGAACCATCCCCGTAAAACCAACGTTTTTTGGTGGGGTGCGGTGTGCTTTTGAAATGCCTTGCCCGAAAATTTGCAAGTATGTTTTTTTTCACGTTACCATGATAACCCTTCTACTAACTTCCAAGTACATCTTATGTGCTTTGTTACGAACTATTCTAACAACTTACATGTAGGTTCTGGATGCTATGTTGCCAACTTTTCAATCAACTTCCAAGTACGTTCTGGATGCTATGTTGCCAGCTTTTCAATCAACTTCCAAGTACGTTCTGGATTCCTGGATGCTATGCTGCCAACTCTTCAAACAACTTCCAAGTACCTTCTTGATGCTATGTTGCTGAAAAGTTACGTTCCCAACAGTTTGTCATCTCAAAGCCGCGATTCACTGCTCTACTGCGGATCTTGGCAATGGAGGTACATCAGCCTCCATGCCAACTTGCACAAGAAGACGGTAGAAAATTTGAATCGCATCTTCTGACGAAAAAGGTTTGCTTTGGTCCTGCGCCGAAATCATCCGATGAAAATAGGCTGCCACAGTCATAAAAACGCGAAATCGGCGTTTTCGGCGAAATTTTAGAATCATGTTTTTAAAGCTTTTGAAGGAAAAAATCGCGTTTCGCAACAGCGCCAAATTCATTTAAAAGGACATGTGTGCTTTTACGGGCGCGGTTTCCGGTTGACTGGGTTTGAGATGAAACCAGCGAACGTTGTTTTGCGAGTTATTAAATGCAAATGTCCCTGCTGATGTAGGGCTTTACAGTCTGAAGTTTTCGTCAGCGATGAATTTGTTTGTACAGCTAAACCTCAATCTCTGGTTAAAAACAAATTTGCATCGCGCGAGAAAATATATGGCATGTGCTTGCCAACGTTGCACTTTGGGGTGTGCTTGATCTTTTTCACCATCAAGTTTTTCGCTCATGGTTTGCAAAACCACACTAACCTGATGTTAGGTGTTCCATTTTCCGTTGTTTTTGCTCTTAATGCTAGAGAAAAAACATTACCTGCCACCATCATGTTCTGATGGTTTCACCTTCTTTGAAGGCCCATGTTTTTTCCAAACGAAGGATATTGAGTAGCCAAAACACATCCCTCACTCATAGCCATGGGGTTTTAGCAGTGGGGAACGGGCATTCTGGCCTGGGAACTGGGGGCAAACCAGGTTACGGCCTACATGAACCATAAAACCCGCGGAGACCCCCAAATCAAGCTACAGCTAAAACTGCACGTTACGAAATGAAGTGTAAGCCAAATAGAAACACTAGCATGTTGGGAAACACAAACAATGTGAACTTGGGGAAAGGCCGGGACAGGAACCAGTCTTGGCTACAACTTGCATATCCAAAAAAGACGGACTTGCGTTTTTTAATGATGCCATTTGGGGTTGCCTATTTAATCCAGAGAACATACTTCAAAAAACACCGATGCATTTTGTAGGGGCATATTTTATGGATGGTAGGCCACCCAGGATGCAAGTTGTAGTAAGCAACCCTGGGTACTGCTATATTGTGGCTACAGTTAGCAGGCCCAAGTGCAAGCTGAAATTCGAGCGAGCATTCATTTTGTGTTCCAAAGTGATGCGAAAATGGCTGTGTTCCAAAGTGATGCATCAGACCGTGTTCTAAAGTGATCCTGCTACCTGAATAAGCGCCAGCAGCTTTAAACATGGTGGTGTAGAGGGAGGACCTGAAAGCGGGGCCGCTCCAAATTACCACTTGGGGAACCCCAAGTCATTGGTTTCCCTTTCCCCTTGGCGTTGTCCAAAGGTATTTTGGAGCGGCCTCGCTTTCGGGTTTTCCTTCCACGTTGGAACTGCCGGTGCTTGGTTGTTGATATGGATGTGTTTCATGCTTCAAGTATGTTTTCACTTACTTTGTGGGTGCATATCTCTTCTTGAAAAGTATTTTGGTTTCCCGTTGATCCTTCAAAGCTGGTGAAGAGAGGTGTGCAGGCAAATGGCTCTTCAGCCAGCAAGGCCCAAGTCATTGGTCTCCCGACGGTCTCCCTCTTTTTCTGCGGGTTCCCCAGTCGTATATTGGCCTCGAAACTGCGAAGCGAGACCCAAGCGTACAACGATGGTTTCTCAGCTAATCTCATTGCAACTGGTGTTTCCAATCGGTTTCAAGGCGTTGCTACCAGTAGTGCCGCACAAGGCGGTGGCGGAAGTTTCAAAAATAGGAAACCTATATGGGTGCGAATCAAAAATCGGGTATGGATCGCTCCGCGGTGATCCGTGATATGGATCGGGAGTGCTTACGTAAGGTGCCTGATCCGTACCCTTTCGTAAGGGTTCTTTATAGCATACAAATTGTGCTGATATTCTTTTTATCTCCTACTTGCTATTACTTCTCCTCCTGCTACTATTGCTGCTAAAACTGTTACCACTGCTAGTAGAGGGAGCAGTAAAAACACCAGCACCAGCAGCAGTAATGGCAATAGTAGGAGGAGATGCAGTAGCAGTAGAAATAGTAGTAGCAGTAACAGTAGTACTAGTAAAAATCACAGTAATAATACTTCAATGATGGTAGCAGCAGCAGCTGCAGTTGTACTAGGAGTAGAAGGGGGAGTAGGAAAAGGAGTAGGAAGAGCAGCAGCAGCAGCAAGAGTAGGACTAGGAGTGGGAGTAGGAGAAGCAGAAGCAGAAGCAGAAGCAGAAGCACAAGCAGAAGCAGCAGTAGCAGTAGGAGTAGGAGTAGGAGTAGGAGTAGGAGTAGGAGTAGGAGTAGGAGTAGGAGTAGTAGTAGTAGTAGTAGTAGTAGTAGTAGTAGTGACACCTGCACTTTTCAGTGCAAGAAACAACACTACAGCTGCACTTGCATAAGCCCTTTGTGGTATGTGTGTTTCAGCTGCTGCCCTGTGGATGTTTGTTCAGCAGCTTGCAGTGGATGAATGCATCGGGCTTGATCATTTGTGAAACTGTTTCTTTTCTTTTTGCTGTTTTGATGCCGCTTGAAAGACCCAGGAGGCAGGTACGCCGGGCGCCCTATTTGCCCGTGGGTACGGGCTTGCCGCGGCCCCCTGCTAGATTGTGCTTGCCCAGCGTTCGTAAATCGGCTGTAGTTGGCACTACTGATTCTAAGGATGATCCAATTGAGGCTCGTGCGCGTGCTGACACACTGCCGGTGAGGCTGGCGTCTGGCAAGCTTGGGGTTCAACTGGTGGGAACAGCTCGCGCATCAGAGGATCAGGAGCGTGCGCGCCTGGCAGGCATCTGGGCAGGTTTTGCCAGGACATTGGCGTCTTCGAGCGCTTCTGCTTGTGATTTTTCATCGACATCTGCAATGAGCTTGCGGCAATTGTTTCTGGATCGTGCACCTGCCACTCTACGCCGCCATCTGAGTGGATGGCGCTTGTGGGTAGCATTTTGTTCTATACATGATTTGCAGCCTGGTGCTCCGCCAATATCAGCTTTGCTTGATTTTTTGGAAAGTTTGAGTGTTGGCGCGCTTGAAGACCGCGGTAATGCTCGACAGCGCAATGCTCTGGGGGTTTTGAGCGCCATGACTTTTGCCGCTGCAAAGTTAAGTTTGGAAAGTTTGCAGACATTGCTACGTGAGCCCATGATTCAGAGCTGGAAAAAAGGTGACAAGTGGAAGCGCAGCAGAGTGAAGGAAGCGGTGCCGATACCATTTTTTGCTTTAGAAAAACTTGAGCAGGTAGTCGCAGGTGCAAGTGGTGATGATCGAATTTTACTTTGCGCCATCTTACTTATGGCCTGGGGTAGTCTGAGATGGTCAGATCTTCAACGTTTAGATTTACAATCCATCACCTCGGATGCTACCTCTATCAGAGGGTGGTGTTGGCGAACCAAATCCTCGGTTCGGGGTATGCCTTGGGGTGTGTTACGCTGTGGCTGCGCTGCAAGCAATTGGGGGGATGTCCTCTTCAACGTGATTTCTGAAATTCGGGCGCAACGTCCTACGCAGGATTTCTTCATAGGGTGGAATGGCAAACCCATGCCTTATACCATCATGCTGGCGCAGTTTCGGCGATGCCTGGTCTTAGCTGCAGGGCTTGAACGCGAAGTTGCGTGGACCTTTTCGCTACATTCTCTCAAATGTACTTTGTTGTCTTGGGCATTGCAATGCAAAGTTGACCCAGTGGAGCGTGCAGCGCAGGGTCATCATAGGCATCATGGGTTTTCTCAGTGTGTGCAGCCATATAGTCGGGATGATGTCACCCCGCAACTTAACTGCCAGCGGGCACTGCTTAAAGTTTTGGATTCGGGTTGGCGGCCTGGGGTTCCGCTGCAGCGTGGTGTTGGTTGCTTGATGCATGAGCGCGCAGGGCAAGAATCGGATACAGAAAGTGATTCAAGTGGGAGTAGCTCTTCGAGTGCTGCGCTGAGTGATTTGGATAATCAATCAGATTGTGGCAGCGAAAATTTCTTGTCAGATGCGGCGGAATTTGAAGGGCCTTGGTTGCTGAACACATTATCAGGTGTGGCGCATAAAGCAATTCATGTGGATGGCAATGAGGATACTGTGTTCCTGGCTTGTCGCCCGGGTGCTACATTGCACGCGGCTTTTGAAAAGCGATCGGATAATCCTTGGTTTGAAGGTTTTCGTTCATGCAGACATCGTGGATGTTGTTAATGTGCCCCATGCGGCGTGTTGCTGACTGCGTTTGGTCAGCGTGCTGGAAAATGGAACGCCGGGACCAACTGAGAGCGGTTGGCGGTGTTGGGCCGGGACTACCTGAGAGTGGGTAGCGGTCCGGGGCCGGGACTACCTGCGAGTGGGTAGCGGCCAGTTGTGTGGGGCTGGGACTACCTCAGAGTGGGGAGCGGCCAGGTGGGGCTGGGACTACCTGAGAGTGGGTAGCGGCCAAGGTGTTGGGCCGGGACTGCCTGAGAGTGGGCAGCGGCCAGTAAGAAGGACCAAGTTCCTGATTGGTTTTGGGCCAGGGTTTTTTGATTATGGATAGCGCCGAGTGAAGATACCGCTTCGTTGCGGTTGGATTTTGATTTATGTTTTGTACCTGAGTGCAGGTATTAGTGTTTGGGGTCCGTGGTCGGGACTGCCTGAGAGCGGGCAGCGGCCTTTTTTCCTAGCTTGACCTAGATAGGTTTTGCTAGTTTACTGTTCCATGGGTTTGCCTAGTTAGGCTTGGCTCATTCGAGGCGGAGATGCCTTTGGGTCCTGGTGAAAAGTTGCTGCTCGCCAGTCGTCCAGTAACAGCTAAGTTTGCAACAATACATTGCTGCGATTGTGTTCCTTCGTCCTTGTGTGTCTTCCTTTTTTGTATGTGTGCAATGGAAAATACGTGGAAGGCAACGTTGTTAGAGGCTGGAGTGATTTCGGCAGTTGCGGAGAAAGTGGTGGAGACATATGCCAATGAAACTGTTTTCCAAAGCTGTTTCCGCACCGAAACTGACTTGGACAAGTTCGCGAAGTCAGTGCTTCTGGGTATGACTCCCCCTATTGCCTCTGAAGAAGATTGGAGTTTCCATCCAGTGACTGGTGCCTTGCGTCGCGTGCGCGAGTCATTGTTAGCTCCCAGCACGGTTGCTGCGCCGTTATTGCCTTTGTTGCCCCTCTCGCAGCCGGCAGTTGCCATTAGCCATCGCTTGTCTGAAGCAGACAGGGAAGGTATGATCAAAAAATTCGGGGACAATTATCCAGGTGTTCATCTTCATCCAGGTGTGCTGCCTGCTTTGCCATATCTTCAGATGATTCAGCAGCAGTGTAAAACGAAGTCTTGGGCGTGGACTCCCTGGAGAAAGGTTCTTTCAGAGGAAGCTATGCATGACGTGCAGTCTCGCCGCGGCGTGCGCAAGCGTGATATGGCTGAGCTTGTGGCTGAAGCGGCTGGCTTGTGTGAGGATGAGTGGGATCTGGAATTGTTCAGCGCGCCGTTGAAAATCTTTTATCGTTTGTGTGTTCGCGCTCATGCGTATGCAATGTGCTCGGTGGGACACCTGCATTCCTGGATGAAATATGTTAACCGCTTTCTTTTCCACTACACCAAGCGGCCGGGAACTGCTTTTCGTTTGATTTCCCCCACCGAGGCAGAAGAGGCGGACAAGGAAGTCATGGGCGAGGTCTTTCGCATGGTGTACCATGATGATGTCACGTTTGAAGATGCTTTGGATAGCGTTGTGCGTGAAGACTTATTGCGGCACAAGCTGTTGCATTTGCCCAAGGGGCCCACAAAGACCCCAGCCGCTGGCAAGCGGCTGCAGGACAAAGAACAGGGAGACAGGGTGCCATTGAAGCGCCGAAAGGCAGATCCGGCCGTTAAGCGCAGGAAGTGCCATGCATGGCAAAAGGATGGCAAGTGTAGGTTTGGTGATGAGTGCAAGTTTGCACATGAGGACCGGGAGTGACTAGGGCCAGGGTCAGGTGATGAAGCGGCTGCGGTCAGTATGCCATTGCTGGCGTCGGATTTTTGTGCGGATCATGGAACTGTTGTTGCCCAGGATGCTGTGGTGCGCTCTGCTGCGTCTTCCGGTTTTGATTTGGCAACTCAGGTACAATATGGCACTGGCAGCCAAAGGGATGCCCGCCCAGAAGCAAGTTTTGATCAGCATTGTTGCGCAGATTTGGCTCCTGCGAAAAGTTCCCCGTTGGCTTCCTTTTGTTCCATCCCCATCGCAGATGGTGGTGGTCGCCTATCTACAGCATGCTGGGTTCACCCTCAGGAACCTGTAGATAGGTTGAAATATTTGCGCGGAAAGTTTTTGCATTGGATGCGGTCTTGGGGTGTTGTGCCCCGGCTTTTGAGGCATATTAGCGAAGGCTCAGAACAGCATTTGTTCTCTGAATCTGAGCAGGGGCAGCTTCAAGGTAGTCTTGCACAAGCTTTAGACACACTAGGTTTTCCTTGCAGCTGTGAGATTCCAATTCACCAGCCCTTTTTGCTGGACATTTGGCGGGCTTTGACACGTGCAACTTCTGACATGGACAAAGACTTGCCAAAGTTGTTGACAGAGGGCGTTCCCACTGGCATTCTTTCCAAGATATCTGCATCCGGTGTTTGGGATGCAGTAGAAGATTGTGATACTGAGCTCGAGAATGAATTGTGCGTTCACCTTGTTCCCTGGAAAAGTGCTGCTGACAATGTTGAGCTCGCGCGTGAATTGTTCATGAAAGATGTTTCTGCTGGTTTTGCTTACATTCTTCCTGGTGGTGCTGCTGAAGCAGTGCAGAAGTGGGGTTCGAATGTTGCTGCCGGTCGCCTTGGCGTTGTACAAGCTCCGGGCCGTAAACCTCGGCTGATTGGAGATGGAAGTATCAGCGGAGCAAATCGAGCTTGCATTATTCCTGAGAAAGCGCGTCTTCCTGGCTTGAGCAGCGTGCAAAGATTTTTGTCAGAGTCCGGGAGTGGTTCGGCCTGGGTTGCTCTGAGCTTTGATGTTGCTTCGGCCCACAAGCTGATTCGTGTCAAGCCTGAAGAACAGGGGCTCGGTTGTTTCGCGCTGGGTAACGATTTTTTCGTTTACCGTTCGTGCTATTTCGGTGCAAAGTATTCGGCATACTGGTGGTCTCGCGTGGGGGCCTGGCTAGTGAGGATGTTGCACAGATTTCTCTGGATTTCTCACGCCTGCTTCCTTTACGTGGATGACGGCCTGGTGTTGGTTCCTAAGGATGTTGCTCCACTTCTTGCTTCGGCCTGCTTGGCCTTTCTGACTGCTTTGGGTGTCCCTTTGAGCTGGAAGAAGGTTAAATTGGGGGACGAGCTAGTTTGGATCGGATGGCGTTTTTGCTTTTCATCTGGTTACATACAGTTGCCGGATGACAAGTCGCAGAAAATTCTGGAAGCGTTGAGCCCTTTTTGCACCAGTGGACAGAAGGTGGACCGCAAAACTGTTGAACGTCTTATTGGTCTTTTGCTATGGTACTCGGGTGGTGCTGTGCATCTGCGGCCTTGGCTACAAGCTCTGTATCATCTGCTGTATAAACCACTCTGCGTATTCAGATCAGTTACCCCCCATCAGTTTGAGGTGCTGCGTCAACTGTTGGACACGAAGTTAGCTTTGACAGGTCACATGGAATGTTGCGATCTACAGCAAGGATGGGTGTTGCATGCTGTCGCCAACTGCGCCGTGTCTTCATTGGGTGCGGATGCCTTAGTGTCTCCACGTTTGAAGCGAGGACAGGTAGATTGTGTTTTCTACAACTACAGCAGTGTTTCTGTCCGTACAAATTTGGCATCCATGTGGGCTTGCAAGCTTTTTTATAATGCTGTGGCTAAGCATCAGTCTATCCCCTTAAGACGTATTGAAGAGTCGTTCATACCTTGTGCAGCAGATGCATTTGCAACCGCATCAGTTGCTGGTGTGGGTGGCTGGTGGGCGCCTACTGCAGAGAGTGCGCGCCAAGATCAAGTTTTTTTGGTTCAGCATTTCTTTGGGCAAGTGGAACTTGCCGGAATGGCTCATTTGTGAGAAGCTTCAATCCTACATAGCTTCATTCGAAGCTCTGGGGCAGCTTTTGCTCTTGCTAGGGCGTGTGCGTGGGATCAAGTCTCCGGCTCATCATGTGTTGCTTATGAGGCAGTTGTGCGACAATGCTGCCGTGGCCGCATCGACGCAGAAGATGCTATCATTGAAGGCACCTCTTGCTTTTGTGTTACAGGCCATCAGTTATCATGCAGTGGCACACGGTGTGCAGCTCACCTCTGCACATTGCGCGGGAGAGCGCAATGGCTGGGCGGATGACCTCAGCCGTGGAAAGGTGTCAGGTTTTAACCCTTTGCTTCGGGTAGAATTTGATCTTGTGGAGATTTTGGCTGAGCCTTGGGCCTCTTCGGGGCACTCTTGAGTGGGGATTGCTATTGGTGCCCCTTTTTTCCAGCAGGCTGCCACCTTGCAGTTAGGGGCTATGATGTGCTGGTCTCTGCTGGGGTTGTCCAGCAGAGCCAGCATGTGGCAGCTATCCATTTGAAAAAAGGGGGCGTGCATTGCAGCTTAGTGTTTGACACCTGCACTTTTCAGTGCAAGAAACAACACTACAGCTGCACTTGCATAAGCCCTTTGTGGTATGTGTGTTTCAGCTGCTGCCCTGTGGATGTTTGTTCAGCAGCTTGCAGTGGATGAATGCATCGGGCTTGATCATTTGTGAAACCCCACCCTCCCAACCCCTTGTGTTGCCCAAGTGCAACTGGCTCCATGCGGGGGCTATGATGTGCTGGTCTCTGCTGGGGTTGTCCAGCAGAGCCAGCATGTGGCAGCTATCCATTTGAAAAAAGGGGGCGTGCATTGCAGCTTAGTGTTTAGTAGTAGTAGTAGTAGTAGTAGCAGTAGTAGTAGCAGTAGTAGTAGTAGTCGTCGTCGTCGTCGTAGTAGTAGTAGTGGTAGTGGTAGTGGCGGTGGTAGTGGTAGTGGTAGTGGTAGTATTGGTAGTAGTGGTAGTAGTGGTAGTAGTGGTAGTAGTGGTAGTAGTGGTAGTAGCGGTAGTAGCGGTAGTAGCGGTAGTAGCGGTAGTAGTCGTAGTAGTAGTAGTCGTAGTAGTAGTAGTAGTAGCAGTAGAAGTAGAAGTAGAACTAGAAGTAGAAGTAGAAGCAGCGGCAGCAGCAGTAGAAGTAGTAATAGAATCGGACTTTTATATTGGCATTTGTTGTGGCGTGACATGGGTTCGGGTATGGATCGGGTATGGAACGGGCATGGATCGGGGTATGGATCGGGACACGCTATCTGGGCCGGCTTTCCCGCTATGGCTGTGAAGGAAGAGAGCGGGATATTTCTATATAGTCTAGTCTAGTTCTACACGTTCTACACGTGCCAGGCAAAGCAGAAACAGAAGGAGTTGTAATCATAGCACCACTAGAAGTACAAGAAGCACCTAGTGGAACTAGAACCGGTCTTACCAGCCTCCAAGGTGCACTTGCAATGTTGCTAGTAGCTAGTCAACTAGTTGCATTTGTCCAGCTACCAGAAGTACACGGAGGAAGTGAACCAGCACCAGCAGCGGGAGCAGGACCAGCAGGAGCAGCAGCAGAAGCGACAGCAGTAGCAGCAGCTCCTGGGAGGAAGATGACTAGTAGTGGCAGCAGTAGCAGCCGGAGGCAGCGGAGGCAGCAGTAGAAGCAACGGTAATAGCAACGGGAGTAGCAGTACGGTAATAGCAACGGGAGTAGCAGTACGGGAGTAGCAGTATTAGCATAAAAAACAGCATTAGGGCCAGCATCAGTAGTCTTTCTTCAACGAGAAAGGGGTATGGATCAGGGGTATGGATCAAGGGTATGAATCATGCAGTATCATAGGGTATGGATCAAGGTATGGATCAGGTGGTATGGATCGCGTGTGGGCCCGGGGCCTTGATCCATACCTTGTATTTTGACTCGTACCCATAGGAGAGATTGGTTGTTGTGAATCAAGGATGGCAGAGCGAATCCACTGATGGACCGAAAGGTGCTTGAGGTCTCCTCTCTTTCTCTCTCTTTCTCTGACTATCTACCTACCTACCAACCTATCTTCTATGTATCTATCTATCTATCGATCTATCTCTCTCTCTCTCTCATCTAATTACCGATCACTATCTATCCTATTCTAATCTATCTATCTTCTGTGTCTGTCTGTCTGGTCTCGTCTTCTCTCTCTCTCTCTTTCATCTGTCTATCTGTCTAGCTGTCTACCTGTCTATCTGTCTATCTATCTATCTGTCTGTCTGTCTGTCTATCTGTCTACCTGTCTATCTGTGGTGCAGTGTCATTCAGTGTAATGTAGTGTAGTGTAATGTAGTGTAGTGTCGTGGAGTGTATTGGAATGTAGTGTATTGGAATGTAGTGTAGTGTAATGTAGTGTAGTGTAGTGTAATTTAGTGTAGTGGGGTGTAGTGGAGTGTAGTGGAGTGTAGTGGAGTGTAGTGGAGTGTAGTTGTGTAGTCGTAGTTGTAGTTGTAGTGTCGTGGAGTGTAGTTTAGTGTCATGTAGTGAAGTGTAGTGGAAGGAGTGTAGTGTAGTGTAATGTAGTGTAGTGGAGTGTAGTGTAGCGTAATGTAGTGTAATGTAGTGTAGTGTAATTTTGTGTAGTGGAGTGTAGTGGAGTGTAGTTGTGTAGTTGTAGTTGTAGTTGTAGTGTAGTGGAGTGTAGTGTAGTGCAATGTAATGTAGTGAAGTGTAGTGGAAGGTAGTGTAGTGTAGCGGAGTGTAGTTTAGTGTAGTGGAGTGTAACGGAGTGTAATTTAGTGTAGTGGAGTGTAACGGAGTGTAATTTAGTATAGTGGAGTGTAGTGGAGTGTAGTTGTGTAGTTGTGGTTGTAGTGTTGTGGAGTGTAGTGTAGTGTAATGTAGTGTAGTGTAGTGTAGTGAAGCGAAGCGACATCTGAACCTCCAAAAGTGGTCCGAACCCCTGGTGTTTTTAACATTTTGACTTCGAAATGTGCTTCGCGCCACAACGGCGTACACTTTTTCGACATCTCAACTTCCAAAAGTGGTCCGAACCCCTAGTGTTTAACATTTTGACTTGGAAATATGCTTCGCGCCACAACGGCGTGCATTTTTTCGACATCTCAACTTCCAAAAGTGGTCCGACAATGCTGTGTTTTGTACATTTTGACTTGGAAATGTGCTTCGCGCCACAACGGCGTGCATTTTTTCGACCTCAACTTCCAAAAGTGGTCCGACAATGGTGTGTTTTGTACATTTTGACTTGTAAATGTGCTTCGCGCCAAAACGGCGTGCACTTTTTCGATATCATAACTTCCAAAAGTGGTCCGAGAATGGTGTGTTTTGTACATTTTGACTTGCTTCGCGCCACAACGGCGTGCAATTTTTCATCTCTCATCTGGCCAGCTGGCTCCGCACCCGCCGCTTTAGCGAGCCTACTTTTCGACCCTCCGGAGCCCCAAATCATTGGAAAAACGCAATGTTTCGCGACTTTCCTACCTTTTCGCGCATCTGCATCTTCTTTCTTCTTACTCTTTCTCTTCTACTCTTCTTTCTTCTAATTTTTCTCTTCTCTCTGCCTCTTCCCTGCTCTGCTTTTCATCTGTCCATATTGTCGGAAGTTTGACTTCTAAACTTCCTTCGGCCAACACCCAAACTTTGTCCGGAAGACCTCGGCACAAAGTTTGTCAGGACGTTCATGTCTGCGTTCAATTATTGTTCAATTGGAAGAAGATATCGTGCAACATTATTGAGGATTACGATTTTGCATTGTTACCACCCGAAACCGTGCATGCCCAAGGCCCAAGACCAAACTTACATGAATTTTCGTTTTCCCATTTTAAACTACTTGCTGAAGTACCTGATAAGGTTGGCCCATCTGAGAATGCACCGTTTTATTATGTTTTATTGCTATATCGTTTTACCGGGCATTTCTGCCAAAAAAAACTTAAATCCAGTCTTCACAAACATGCGCCACACGCACGCACCCGGTTCGGTGTTGATTAATGTCAATCCCCAATTGGTGCTGGCGATTTCCGCGCTGCAAATGAGAGCCTGTTGCTTCGGACGCATTGCGGCTACCTTTGACCACGGTTCATTCTAAGTTAAGTGACTGAAGGTCCATCATGGTCCATCGCTGAGTGGTAACATGTCGCAAATGTGACATTACGTTTCTGACTTGATCCAGTGTATTTGACTTCTGAATGGCGCAGTCATTTTCGAGTTCAACCCCGCCCACATACCAAATTTGATTCACAGTGCTGCAATTCGTGAATGAAATTTCCAGCGTGCTGGGGAACAGATGTGTTTTGCTTGTCTGACAGTGATATACAGTGATGGTTTTTGAGAAATCAGGGATAATCCTCCAATTCTTCGCGATCAAACAACTTGGACAACACGGAACTAACCAACTGCATACATTCCACGAAACAAAACTGTAGTTCTGATATGATAACGATCAATGCTAGTTGTAGTCCCATGCAAGTGACAAAATGAACCGTTCCTCGCTAATCTGTCGAATCCATCTGTGTTCATCCATGGTGAATCCGCTCTGGGAGCGGTTTGAACATTCCGAATTTGGAGTCGCATCAGGCCGGGGCAACGAAACAACCTATGTAGAGACAGATCTTGAGAACGTTTATGGTTTCGTTGATGCCACGGGATGCCTTGGAAAACAACACGTCAAACATAGACAGCATGCACGGCCAAACATTGTTGTTTCAACGCGCCAGGCTACTCAGGATGAAGTGCCTGTGGCCGGGATGCAATGTTTGGTCCCCGTGGATACTTGACACAAAAAGAGAACCATTTCTTGCAACATTGGCATGTAGTTGGCGTAACGTGATTGAAGGTGCAAACTGCCAAGAACAGCTGCAGATGATATGAGATAATTGGAGTTGGATGTTGTTCTGACATGTTCTGAGATGATTTGAGCTGGTTCGAGGATGCTGTGTTGGGGCCAGTCCTACGTGCCAGACAAGGACCTCATTTGGAATTTACCCAGGCAACCGCTTTGAATCACAATGAATCGTAACATATCGTAACAATTGAACTTGATGAAATGCATCATGTGCATTTTTGTTGCCCAGGTGTCCTGCCATCGTGCCAGTTCTGTTGGCTTCGGCTAGTTTGGTCTTTTTGATACTGGCAGGTGGCACAGAGGACGGCGTACTGTAGCTGATGTTGAGTCAAAACAATCAAACGCATTCCAACGCATTATTTGTATTTCTTTGTGACGTTTTTTGGACACAATTCCCTCACTTATGGCGAACTTGGTGCCATGTTATGCTGTTGCAGGACACCGTGGTTCGCTGCGATGTCCTGGGTTTGTGCGTAGGCTCGTGATTTCTTGTGACATCCCACGACGTGGCGATTTGGATGGTTTATATGGTTTCTTTAGGATTCGATTTTGGTTGTTTTGCAAACATGTTTCCACATGTCCAAGTCAAATTCTGCACCGCAGACCGCAGGACTCTTTGCCACTCTTGTTTTTGGATTTGTGGTTCTGGGATTTCTTGCAAGAAACTCTCAGAAAGGGACGCCAGTGTTTCGACCCTTGGGCTGCATTTGAAAATACGGGCATAGGGTTTGAAAGGGGAACACATGAGGAAACGCAACTACTACAGTATACTAGAGTACTCCCTGGCCAGATCGAATGGAGCAAACTTTAAGGCTCCCTATCAAGGTTAAAAATTTGGGCACATGCCAAACGCAACAGCAGTTGAAATTATTGTTGTCAATACCACTACTGTGTGTGAGGCTTGATCTGGCAGCAGTTCCTGCTCCTACTGTGGGTTTGCTCTGCCATTTTTTTGCTTCTCGGCACGAAGAGCTGGCACGGAGTGCTTTGCCGACTCATTGTGGTGAAACAGGCAGAAGTGCAGTCTTTTTGATGTTTTTTTTCCTCCATGTTTTCTTCATGTTTCCTTTCCTTCTCGTGACAGTCACGCACGCGCGTGACATAGTGGCCATGCATGGTGATGTGATCTTCTCGGTGCAGTAAAAAATGACGGCATCGATAGCATAGGTTCTTTGCCTTCGTCAGCGTCGTGCCCATTTTTCTGCTGCAAACATTGGCTTCCTTGGCTGCTGCATCCTTTGCTATGACTGTTGGTAGTGTTCTGCTACGCATTTGGTGGAATTTGGTGCGGCGCTGAGTTGCTTTGCACCTAGGACATCTTGGGGCGCTTTCATGTCCAACATGGCCAGACATGTCACAGCGGCTCCCAGCCTTTTAATCTGTTATCTGACAGGCATATTTTCCTCCCCTGGCTGAGCGGTTTGGGCTTTTGGCCAGCATTGCTTCGTGGAGCTCTGCACCTCAACACATGAGATATCATGGGATTGCAGATTGCAATGCAGATTGCAATCAGGTCACGTTGAGACCGTGTCAGACCTGGCACACTTGGCACCAGGCATACATTGTGCTTCTACTCCACCGTGAAGTAGAAGGCCATTTTGCAGGGCTGTCTTCCCACCTCAGTCGTGAAGAGCATTTGATTTTGTTTAGCACCTTGCCGGATTTGGCTTGGCAGAGAGAGTTTTGATGTCTTGCCTCGCGTTCATCCAGCACCGTCCAGCACCATCCAGCACCCTTGCGATGGCTGCATTCCCCTAAGGTTTCGGAGGTTTCCTCATCAGCACAGCTTTGTGGTTCTTAGCGTTATTGCTGCCTTGTGGCCGCCGAGCCTTGCAAGGCGAGCAGAATACCAATCACATCGACATCTCGGTAAATCCCAGCATTCCTTATTTGACTGTGACATGTTGATATACTATGTTGACATATGTTGACACATCCTGCGGCAGGCAGAGTGTCATTTGGCTTTATTTTTTTGGTTTCTGTATCTTTTGTGGTTTCTGTATCTTGTGTGCCCAGCTGAACCTCAAACTTCCTGACATTTCTGGATTGTGAGCTTCCAAACTAGTTCAGGCAAGAAGGTGGAAGTGAAAGAAGACAGCGTGAGCAGGTACCCTTCAAAGGAGGCGCCTCAAGAAAAACCAAGATACCCCAAATGGTGTCACATTGCTCCACGGAATCTTGATGTTGAGGTAAACACATGGTGAAACCGCGTGACACCACACATCACCTGGGAGGTATTGGGAGGTTAAACACATCACGAACAAACGTCGATCCATTTGGTGCCTCGAAGGAACCTGTGGAGGAAGCAGACCAGCAGCTGGACACTGTGGTGGAGATAAAGGATGCGTTGGACGAAACACCCGGACGCCTTTTGCACCTGCAGGCTGATGGCTGGGCCTGACGGCCTGACGGCCTGACGGCCTGACGGCCTGACGGCCTGACGGCCTCACTATCAGTTAGATTTCATTGATTTCATTCATTGATACTTGTACGACTTGTACGTATCATCTATTATCATCTTGCATCACCTGAAAAGATGACGCCATCCTCCCAACAATATCTGAGATCTTCAATGATGCATGTCTCATCTCCAAGACTCCAAGAAAACATCTATATACTAGTACCCATCTGCTCTTCCTATTCTCATAAGAACAACATATTCAGAATTTGAATACTAACAATTACTAACATATATGATCATATATGTATAGTATACAATAAATCATATAGACATGTGTGATATCTTTCTATGTATGTTATATTATGTTATATTCCCTCTTAGAACATCCAAATTCGCCGACCACGGCTCCGCCAGGAAGGCGCCGACGTGCCATCGGAGGTCGAGCCCGAGGACTCGGCCGTGCACTGCGTCGTCGCGGAGCTCCCTGGAGAAGTCTCGCCCGAAGAGGATCGACCCATCGACGACCCGTGGAGATGGCTGGAACTGGGTGAAACCATGGGTGAAACATGGTGAAAACTGAAGATGGAAGAACATAGCATATGATATATGGGAAGGTATCTCAAGGAATCCCAAGTATTTGGTTTACGCAGAATCATTGCAAACCATATTAATTAGCATTGTTTTGCATTTTTTTTCTCCACCGTTTCTTATTTATTTTTCTTTACACTACCTGCTGATCATTTGATAAACAGACCACGCAAATTTGTTCAAATTTGAAACTGGGTGGATTTGGGGTCTGGATGGTCTGGCCTGCTTTTAGGGATAAATCCAAATTTGATTTGGAAAATGTGTGTTGCATCTGGCTGCAATCTTGTGTGTTTGGTGCAGTATACATGCGATTAGTGTCGCTTCATTTTGGCGAAGGAAATACAAACACCTCCTGCTAGTATTCGGTAAACTCAATTTAATTTTTGGATGATGTTAGTAGATGATAGTAGATGCTCTTTCTATGCCTGGAAACATCACAGGACAGGGATGAGACGCCGGCAGCAAAACCTGTTCTAAGAGCCTTGGCACCAAAGGGAAATGAGTGAATGAGACAACATGATTCAACGATATGATGAGCATCATATCATATTGTTCGCTCTGAATTCCTGCAGTCCCTGCACTTTGTGCTGGCCTCCCCGACTCGGAAGTCAATTACGGGTAGTAGACTCAATTCACATCAATTCATCTCAATTCTCAACCGCTTTTCAGCCGTCACCATTCCTTAACCATCCTCCAGGCTTGTTGCAACCTGTCGCCAGGCGGAACGACCGCACCATTTCCATTTCCTCGTGGCCCTTCCAGGCGACTTTGCACACCCCAGCAGCAAGGGATGTCGCCACCACAATCTCCCACCTGCCAAGATCTGCGATCTGCCAAGGCCGCGAAGACGATGTGAGCAAGCCTGGGGCTCGCCAAGTCGGCACAGCCTGGTGCAGAGCCTATCAGCAGTGCCTGAGGGCGATGAAGACACCGCAGAAGGACACTGGCCATGACACAACTGCTGGTGATTTGTTTTGGAGTTGGCAGTTGCTGAGAACAAGATAGGACACGATTTTCAAACGCTTCTCTGTTGCTTAATTACTCGTACCTTTGATATGTTTTGAAGACCTTCATTCTTGATTTTGAAGAGTTTTGAGGTATCTCCCGCTGCATGGGGTTCAGTGATCCTTGACAGGAGAGTTGCCGGAAGCTCCCCCGGTAGCACGTTTGAATGTGAGGTCCTTTTTGGCAAAAGCAGCTCCGGCTTCTTGACACAAAGGTCAAGCTAAGCAGTTTGAGACAGTTTTGCGTTGAAGTTTGACCCAAGAAGTGTCAAGGGAACAAATCGCCGCTATAGTCTATAGTTTCAGCTTGGGCTGTTCAACTATTCAATACGATCCCAATCTTTGACGTGGGTCGATTTTTGGCGCTATGTGGTGCTTGACTGACCTGTCAGCACTCGCATGAGCCAATATCAGCGTGCAGCTGAATCTTGCATTCCTTCCGCGCAAATGATATTTTTTTCAATAGTTTTTATTCATTTAGTAATTAAGTCTGTTTGTGCGCTTGAGGTTCCGCTTGAGGAAGGGCCAGCAAAAGAGACCTTGAGTGATGATGCAACGGCCCAAGCAATCTGCGAGTCAATGGATGTCTGTCCGAAGCAATCCTGTTACGAGAACTAGAGGATGTCTTGATTCAAGAGGACTGTGTCATTTGTATTAGCCGGCAAAGCGTGCTGCCCTTGGAAATGGAAGAAGCTGAAACATGGAACCTACATGGAACAAAATTGATATTTGTTGATCAGACTGAGAAGTGACCTCTTATCGTGCTTCGCGTCGCTGTAGATTCCTGGGTGAAAAAAGTCCCGGAAACAGTACCGTTACCGCATGAAACAAAACAAGTTGCTGCCCCAAAAACCTTTTGCAATGGTATCATGTCATTTTGATAGGTGTTTTGATGTCAACATTTATGAAAGAACACAAATGAACATATGGGGCGCCCAGTGGGCTATCCGCCTTGTCCAGTCATCATGGCACGGCAGGCAAACACTGCGCCATCTGAAACAGCAGCGACCCTGCCAGAAGCTGATTCCCCTCATGTGCCACCAGCACCCTGTGAAGAGCCTTGGTAGTGGAGAAGAAAAGAGCAGACACGCGCAGATCTTCAGCAAACAAAGCGCAGCATATTGTTCAGCTTTGTTTGCACTTAATGACAGGCCCTTGTGAACTTGTCTGCCAGCTTTGCCGTTTTGCGCTTTCCAGCGCATTTTCGAATGGCTTTTGGATGGCTGCGCTTCCAAGGACCTTCCAGTTTCACAGGTCTCTGAAGAAATACTTAGCGAAGAACCACTGCCACGACCAACTCACAGCGAAATTCGAACTGGCCACTGGTGACTTGGCTGGTGACCGCTGCACGAACTTTTTCTCCACCGCAGACCACAAGCATCGCAAATCGCATCATTGTCGTCATCGTCATCGTCATCATCGTCATCGTCATCGTCATCGTCATCCTCATCCTCATCCTCATCGTCATCCTCATCCTCATCGTCATCGTCGTCATCATTGCCATCATCGTCATCATCGTCATCATCGTCACCATTGCCATCATCATCACAATCATCATGTCATCATGTCATCATGTCATCATGCCATCATGTCATCATGTCATCATGTCATCATGTCATCATGTCATCATCGTCATCATCGTCATCATCGTCATCATCGTCATCATCGTCATCATCGTCATCCTCGTCATCCTCGTCATCGTCATCATCGTCATCATCGTCATCATCGTCATCATCGTCATCATCGTCATCATGCGTCATCATCATCATCATCATCATCATCATCATCATCATCATCATCATCATCATCATCATAGTAGCGCTGGTGCTTGTAGTCCTCGTCCTCGTCCTCGTCCTTGTCCTCATCATCGTCATCATCATCATCATCATCATCATAGTAGCGCTGGTGCTTGTAGTCCTCGTCCTCGTCCTCGTCCTCGTCCTTGTCCTCATCATCGTCATCATCGTCATCATCGTCATCATCGTCATCATCGTCATCATCGTCATCATCGTCATCATCGTCATCATCGTCATCATCGTCATCATCCTCATCGTCATCGTCATCATCATGGTCATCGTCATCGTCCTCCTCCTCCTCCTCCTCATCGTCATCGTCATCGTCATCGTCATCGTCATCATCTTCATCATCGTCATCATCATCATCATCATCACCATCATCACCACCACCACCACCATCATCATCATCATCATCCCAATCCCCTATCACTCATTGTCACTCTGTCTCGCATTTGTCATTCCAGCTTTGCCAGGCGCAAAGTTCTCCGTCCCCAGACGCTGGGCCACTCGAATGAAAATGTCAACTCGCAAGACGGACATAGACGGACTGATTTATTTTTGTTGGGCATTGCGGCATTGTTGGTTGTCAAGAGTGTTAAAGACCATCTTGGAGCCTCAAATCAGTGTCTTTGTTCCTCCATATGGATTTCGCTTATTGCTAGCCACCTGGACTTCAAACACGTACAGGCTCGAAGATCAGAGTATTCAACATGGTCACGAAACATGATCCTTCAAGCGTTTCTCTTCGTCGTTTTCGCCCTTTGAGGTTTGGCTGATATCACGTTTGCTGACGTTGGGCGAGCTGCAGTAGTTTCGCTATCTGCACATGCCTGTGCTGGGTTGATCTTACTGCTGGGTGGTGGCGTGGATGCAAAACATATTGGAAAGTTGGAGAACTTACATGCTGCAAACCGTCAGCATTGCATCGTTTGGCCATCTGTGGGTTTGAGATGGTTTCAGCAGCTTTCAGCAGCTTTCAGGCACTTTGCATTTGTCGATTTGAGGTTACATTATTGTGGTTGTTTTGGCGCTATTGACTCTTGGCCTCGATTGAGTCTATGAATGTCTATGATTTCATGTCTTGCAGCTACTAGCTGTTACTAGCTCCTTCTTTCATCTTCTTTCTGGCCATAGCTAGCCATAGTTCGCCTAATTTGCTGGTAGCAGCTTCTGGATCTTGGATGCAGAGCAGGTAATGCATGGTAATGCTTGGGTATACTCTGAGACTCTGTCTGCAAGGTCTGTGAAGATTCTCTTTTTGATCGCTGCGTGGTTGGACAACTGTCGACTGCACGATCCAGAACCTTGCCAGGCTCCTGCCAGTATCACAATGTATTCACCATGTGCAAATGGATGAGAAAGGAACCGAGCATGGAACGGAGCAACGGGGCATGAAACATACTGCCAATAATGCGGTAAACCTTATGCTCAAGCATAAACCATCATAAACCATCATAAACCCACATTTATGGCACGTTATTTAAGGGATATTGGATCTATTAAAATTATTAGGGTTTTACCACATGATCTGCCACAACAGCAAAACGATCAAAACGCGGTGTCGCGTCGTGTTGTTGTCACAGGTCCCCGAAGAGGTGCCCACGCTGACACCGGAAATTTCTGTGGCGTCCACATCTCCTGCGGCTTCACCCTTGGCGAAGGTACCAGAGGCATATGCTCCTTGGATCTCACCCGATGCATCGATGCACTCGGGATGTGGAGAATGGGGATATATGGGGATATATGGGGATAGTATGGGGATATATGGGGATAGTTGCATTGCGAAATTGCTCAGTTTCATGGCGTGCCAAGGCGGCCTCGTGGGGCTTCTTTTTGCCAGATCATCCCAAGGCTGCTTGGCATGGCTTGGATGTTGACCATTTCTCGATTGAAATGGAAAACTTACTGGATGATTTGTGACATTTTGTGACCTTTGAATATCTTCGAATATCTTTGACGTGGGCCGTGCCAGGATGTTGGAGACCCAACAGCTGATCGTGGCACCATGCCGCCAGTACAGGAGGACTTTCGACAGTTGCTGCTGGTTGCAACAAGAAACACCTGCGCAATTGCCTCAGGAGGATTTGCCGGACCCCAAGGCAGACTTTGGCCCAGGTACCAGCTTGATGCAATGCCACTGAACACACGTGAAAAGCAAAATTCAGCATATGGTTATATATTTATATTTATCATGAGAGAGAGAGATGTAAATATATATATATATACAATATGGATTCTGCTAAGCATCGCAAGGTCAGCAAAGCGAAGCTATTCAAATTGGTGGAGCCAGAGCTTTCTCAGACCAATGTACTGCAGGCCACAGCGAGAATGCCGATCAAGGACCAGAAGCTGATCCAACTGACCAAGGACCTGTCAGACCTATGCTGAAGCTATGCTGAAGCTATGCATGTAGAATCATGTAGATACGTACATGACCGTGTATGGACGAGCAGTTTCATGACATATCATGATAGATATACTGTAATTGTAAATTGAAACCTGCATATCACATGGTGGTGTTGCCCTGCAACCCCGACGGTCCATGGCCGTCCATGGCCGTCCATGGCCGTCCATGACGGTCGAGGAGCTCATGCTCCGAGGAAGTCCGCACACGTGGAGCGAAGCGTCCTTAGACATCTCATACTGACCTCAGATGTCGTAGCTGCGTAGCTTCACCTGCTGAAGCGCCAGCTATAGGTCCAGGTGGCGCTCGTCCAGGGCGACGAAGACCAGATGCGGACCTGTGGCAACTTCCAGGAGATGTTCTGCAAAAGCAATCCCCAGAATGTCCCAGCCAATTGCACCATTTTTATTTTTAAGGTAGAAAACTGCTAAGCTATTTGTAGTCAAGACATGACAGTAGACGCTAGGAAGCTTTTGAAGATTTTGAAGTGAGCTTCCTGCACTGAGACCACTGAGAGCGTCTAGATTTCAACAAGTTTTGATGCTGTGTCTTTGCAGGGCCGGACGGAGAGCCTCTACCTGTTTCTTGCGGGCCGCCATTTCTGGAGTGCCTGGTTTGCACTGCGTTGGTTCAGACATTGTAGTGACTTGATCAAGACCATGCTCCCTACAGTACCATCAATCCGCCCACTGACACAACGGTTTTACAGGGCTAGAAGTCCCAACTGACACATCGCCATGCTAAAACTCCCAACTGTCAAAATGACAACAGTGATTCAAATGACCAAAGTTGACAGCTGCTGTCATTGAAGTTGTATAAAGTTGCCAAGGTCACCTTCAGAGCCTGGAACCGATGAGCAGAGATCCAAGGCTCCTGGTGACGAGTCACATCATGTCACATCAACATAGTGAATGGGCTGGACATGGCTGGACGTTTTATGACGTTTTTAAATGTTTTGAACATGGAGATGGTGAAAAGAAGTTCCTTGTGACATATTGTGAAGCTGCGAGGCGCTACAAGAGCCACGACCTAGAAGTTGCTCGCCGGAGACATGTGAAGCTTTGGGCCTTGCAAGCTAAATTTCTGATGCCATCAGGGATTGAAGGAATTGTGGCAAATCCAAATTCAAAAGGATCCGAAGATATCCGAAGCAGCTGAGGTGTCAGAGAGACGCTCCTGTTCTTTGGCTGCGAAAACATTTTCGCGCTTTTTGATGCTTTACGTCTCCCTTCAATGGTCTTTTGCTTGACAGCACTGCCGCTCTTGTATTGAATTCAAATGAGCAGACAGTCTTAAAGCCAGCACCATGAATTTCAAGAAGATGTCGCAAGCTGGAACTAGAATCCGGATGAATCCAGGATGAATCTGGACTATACACAACAAACATCAACAAGCATCGACAACCCCAAGTTGCCCGTTGCGCTGCCCGTTGCGCCGGTTGTGCTTTGTCGTGGTTCCCAGATGTTCCCAGGCATGTGCCGCACTTCCCCTCGCCATCTCCGCAGAGTCATGCGTGGAATGAGATTATTGGCTCCTTGGATTCAGCCGACAAAACCCAAGGCCAGCACAGGATGGCGCAGCTGGGTTTGAGATGTCTTGTCTTCAGTTGGTACTCGTAACATCATGATCATCATGTATCATCATATCATAGCCTTCAGGCGGGCTTGAAATTGATTGAATCTGCTAGACGCAGTGTCCAAAAGATTGGACGAGGCAACTGTATATATATACAAACTCAGGCTGTGAGCCAGAAGGGACTGGATTGCGGGCCCGATTGTGGGATGAGATTGCAGGACAAGTAGAGGTACGGTATGCAGTTTTTGTTTTTCCAGCCCTGAAAGGTGAAGATGACGTCATAAGCCCTAATAAGCACTCCGCGACTGGAGTTGCTTGGCCTGAGCAAGCCTCTGGTCTTGCGTTCTGCACTACTCGACTTGATTGATTATCAAATATGAACCCATTTTACATCATTTTACCCATGGCATGTTGATTCACAAATGCTCATGTCTTCACCATTGAAAGTTGGCAACGATGTGAGCAGCTGGAGAGCGGATGAAAGTAGCACACCTTGTGCGGTCAGGCTCGCTGCAGCTGGCGTTGGATGGGGCCTGTGTTGGCAACGACAGCTCTGCTTTGTACGCCGCTGGCTTCTAGACTGCACCAAAGATACTCCAACAATCTCCAACATAGTGATAATAATATCATAATATCCCCAAATCAAATATCATCAAATAGCCCCAAATAAGGGATGGTACTACAGATTACTACAGTATGTACTAGTTTTTACCTCTTCAGTGCAGAATAGCAGCCAGTACTTTTTTAATGGTGAGATGCAGCGGCGTCTTCAATGCCGAGATGCCGGGATGATCCGGGATGCCTGTTGAATCCGTCATTGATTCGATCAGCAGACGGTGCTGCTTGGTGGAACTCTCCTCAGACCCCACAGCTGGTTGCAACATGTTGCAACCCCCCAGGCGCTTTTTGTGATCTCTAGTGTCTATGCTGGCTTACTCTTCTTTGTCTTTGTTTTCGATCTCGTCTTCATCGAGAAGCTTCGCCAGAGCCAAGTGGTCGGGGTGGATCGGGTGGCAGGGGAAACAAGAAAAGCAAAAACCCGTCTTCAATGCAGATAGAGACGCAGACATACGCAGACAAGGTTTGAAGACTTGAAGATGTTTGAAGCCACGGTTTAACGCCAGCGACATTAGCTGAAAAAAGAAGTGGTACAGATTGCGGACGAAAGCATCAACTTGAGATAGATTACGTTATCTCAGTTATCTCTGGAAGTTAGCTGAGGAAGTATACTGCCTCCAGTTTGTCCCGGCACTTTATCCTGGCAGCTGATACTTGCAGGCACTTGAGTTTGTGCACAAGTTGGTCCGAAAAGTAAATGCGCATAGCCGGCATAGCCATGCATAGCCTGGGTGAAGCCGAGACGAAGGATTTTGCCTCCCTTGATCAACCAACTGAATGACATATAATGACAATGACGTACATAATACATACGTACATACTTACCTACCTACCTACCTACCTACCTACCTACCTACCTACCTACCTACCTAACCTACCAACCAACCAACCAACCTACCTACCTACCTACCTACCTACCTCACATAATTACGTATATATATATATATATAATATGTATACATATATAATTATACGCTAATTATACAGTAAGATAGATAATGAATAAAAATGATAGATCTATCAGGTTTTGTTTTCAGCTTGCAGCTTGGTGCCTGAGGTCAACGCGACTTGCTTGGACAGCCAGCGATTGTCCGCGCTGGGAAGCTTTGTGCGTCCATCGGAATGTGCACGGCAAGTGATGAGGCTCGTAGTGCCACAGTGCAACATGTTGGGTTTCCCGGGGGGGTTTGCCGTGAGTCGGAATGAGTTTGCAGAAGGGTAACATATGTTAAGATCATGTATGTCCATCCGCAGCCGTTTAGTAGGAGGAAATATCATGGTATTTTCAGTGTTTTTCATTGGTTTTACAGTAGCATTCGCAAGATGTTTGCATGATCAGGGATGTTTGTTTGAACCAGGTTCATGTTTGGCGAACATGTTTTTTTCGCGGGATCCCGCGGAAAAATTAGCATGGTTTTTGAACTTGAGATTTGTTGGAAAGAGAAATAAAGTTGTGTGTTTTTTTGAACATCATAATTAAACTTCTTTCGGAACCATGTTGAGTTTCGATGAATTGTTCGAATGTTTGGTGCTATTGATCGCGTGCCGCATGAGTGGCAATTTTTCGTGGCAGATTGCCGTTCTTCATTGATCCTAGCGTAGCATGACGTATGTGTGGAAGTGCAAGAGAACCTAGCAGTAGCGTAGCATGACGTATGTGCGGAACTACAAGAGAACCTAGCAGTCACAATGAACGTTAACATCCCCCCCACCCCCCCCACCCCCCCAAAGTAGCTTAGCATGACGTATGTGCGGAAGTACAAGAGAACCTAGCAGTCGCAATGAACGTTAACATCCCCCCCACCCACCCAATGGTCACGAGCTCAGAAACCTTGTTTGCTTCGGCAAACCCCTACGGTTGACCCAACATGTTGCAGGACGCTTTGGGAGGCCGTTTGTCAATCCTTGTGAAAATTGGTAATGTTGCACCAATTTCTTTGTCCACTTCTAGAGATTTCTGAAAATTTCTGGAGCAGGTCTACTACCCATGCAGCCTTCTCAATGGGTCCGTTGATTGAGGGCAGGCGTGCTTGCCATCCACAACAAGGCGTGGCGGAGGCCTCTTTCATCGCCTCTCAGCTGCAAAAACGGGCTCGTGTAATTTTCCTGATTTATTTGCATAATAGGATGTGTATCTAAACATGTATGATTATATATAATAATATGCAATAATATGTCTCTGCATACATTTCCCGTTGCTCACAGCAAAATTTGGGATTAAGCTTATGGATAGAGCCTTGACCGTTGGCGCTGCCTCCGGATCATTTACTGCCATAGGCTTTCGCGTGCTCAGCGAGCTGCTCCGATCCACCCCTCCTCTTCCTGATTGCCCAGGCTGTCCCTTGTGCCCTGAATTGCCTGAAATCCCTATCATTGAACTCCCTGAACGGCTTGATTTGGTATCACTGGTGATTGGGATAGCTGTGGGATTAAGCATTGGGCCCCTGCTGGATTTGCTTTACCTCCTGCGGCAAACGTGGAGGGTGTGGATCAGGACCCGCCTTGGTGAGCTGGCCCGTCGAAATCCAGAGGCACCCTACCGTCTTGCATGAGCTCTAAGGTGACTGCATCCGACCTTGTGGTGCAGCGGCTGGAGCGTGAGCTTGCATCTCTGCGGCTGGAGGTGGGGGCTCTGCGTGGGCGAGTGGAGGCTTTGGAGGGTTCTGCTGCTCAGGACTCAGTTAGTGATTTTTCTTTGATCACTGAACAACCTGCCCCCAACTCCAATACCTTACCTAGTGGGGAGTCCCGTATAGCGGGCGGGGAATCCCGTATAGCGGGGTATTGTGTGGGGACTGCACGAGAAGAGATTTGCCGTTCTATCGGCCAGTGGCTGCGCCGAGCTCTTTCTGGGCTGCCCAGGGGGCCATCTGGACGGGAACGGATTGATTTGGCTTCACGTTTTTATTTGGTTTGCCGGGACATCCACGGCAACGATCACAATCCTCCTTTGTTTTTCTCCAGCTGGAAGGCTGCAAAGGATCTTTGTTTTCATCGAGGTGAACCAGGTGATTCGGTGTTCATCGGCCTCCCCACAAAGACCGAGGCAGTGATTTGTGTTGAGGCTGCAGGCTTGCAGCTGCCGCCCTCTCTTAGAGGGCAATGATTGAGGAGAGCCTTGGGGGCGGAGAAGAGCCTGAGCTCTCCGGCCTCCGTGAACAATTTGTGTTCTCAGGCACAGAGACCAACTACGACTACGTAGTGGGAGTTTTGACAGTGGCAGAGCCTCCCACCACCGTGGCGTGCATCTCAGTGTGCGCGGTGGACCAATCAGTTTTGGTAGCTCTTCCTGACAGTGCTTGGCATCGGTTGAAGAGAAACAGGTTCCTTCCGGCAGATACCTTGAAGAAGGCAGTGCGTGTGGCAGTGAAAGCATGCGAGCCGGGAGATCGGGCGCTTGCGCGAGACGAGGCCTCCCTGCACCTATGGTTGGGCCTTTTGGCAACTGGGCTAGAGGATCATGTGGTGTTTGGCGGAGACGAGGACGCAGAGATGAGTTTTGGTGTGGACGAGAGTGGTGTCCCTCTCGAACCTTTTGCAGAGGCCCTGGTAGCAGTAGGTCGCGACCATTTTACTTTCCTCTCTGCCGAGTCCGCCGCCGACCCACAGTCTGGCATGGTCGACATAGAAGAACGCATGGGCAAGATGGAAGCTGGCTTAGAGAAACTGCTCAAGATGGTGACTGGACTGCAGCTACCACCAGGCCCTCCAGCTCCGTCTGGGGGCCTCACCTCAGGTGGAGGGGCAAGAAGCGCTGGTGCCACGGCAAAAGTTCCTCCTACTGGAGCTGGCGGCTTAGACCCTATGCTAATGCAACAGGCTTTGGCTTCAGGTCTCGACCCTTCTACTGTGGCCGAGTTTGGAAAGCTGCTGCAACCTCCCGGCCTCGGCCGAAAGTCTGCCCTGCGTACACCAGCACCAGCACCTACCACACTACGGACTGCAGAGACTTCCGACTCTTCAGGCGAAGAGGACGAGGAGGAAGGGGCCGAAGATTCTGGGTCGGCCGCCCCCCTGCAGAAAGCAGTGATCCACCTGTCCAAGATTGTCACGGACATGAGAAAAGAGAAGAAGAGCCGGAAGAGCAAAGGCCTGGAAGCCTTACTGGATGGAGCAGAAGGAAGTGGTTCTCAGCGCGATGTTGGTGGGTCGTCTCGAAGCAAGGCGGCCGCCCTACGAACTCTCCAGCAGACGCTGACCGCCAACCCCGAGCTCATCTACGAGGCAATCGAGAAGCAGCTGCAAGCAGACTGGGAGCGCAGTGGCTCTGCCCCAGGCCTAGGCGTGAGTCTAGTCAGCGCGCGAGGCTGGGTAGAGCATCGCTCAAAGATCCAAAACTATGCCTCCAGCGTGCGACCAGCCTGGCTGATGGCAGGAATTTGGGATTGCCTGCGGCATGGGAAAACTGCAGAGGCACGGGCTCGTGCCGCCCTGGCAGTAGCAGTTATGGACCAGCATCGCTGCGACAGGGGCGGGTGGCTCTTAGCGAGCGAGGCCACTCTAGAAAACCCGCCGCCCTTCAGCGCATTCAGTCAGCACACCCCACCAGAACCGTGGGAATTGCAGCACTCTCAGCTTCTGGATCCCAGGTGGGTGGAGCTCTTTCTGGCAAAGCTCAAGGATCTGGCGGAGTACCAGGAGAAGAAAGCAAAGCTTGGTGGGAAAGGCAAGCGGGCCGAAGAGCCCAGCGGCAAAGACACCAAGAACGACACGGCAGCAAAGGGCCAGGGCAAGACCGGCAAGAAAGGCAAAAAGGAGGGGACCGAGAACTCCCCGTCCGCAGCTCCTGCGGACCCGTGAACACTATGACTGCTGCTCCTGAAAGGGGCGGTCGTGAGGGAGCGACTACAGCTGAGCAGCAGAAACCTTCGGCCCCTAGAGTGCCCGGTGCTGGCGCTCCATCTTCAGACGTCCTGAAGATTTGGAATTCAATGAGCAGATGGATTTTGAAAAGCCATACTCCGTTTGCCAAGTTTTTGCAGTCAATGCAGGACCTCCTGCCTCCTGTTGAGGGAAGCACAGCTCCTACCGTTTGGCCGATGCCGATACCTTTTCCAGAGTGTTGGAGTAGAGAAGGGGCTGACTTTGCTGATTTGTCTTTTTCAAAGCGGGCTTTGCGGAAACTGCTGAACCTAGTGGTGTCAGCACTCTCCTGGCTCTATATGGGGCGTCCCAAGACAGCGCCTCGGCAGATGGCTCTGCATCGGCCCCTATCGGCCCAGCAATGGAAAGTGGTGAGACGTTTTGAACGTCTTGTGACCGAGGTGCATCACACCCAGACGGTGACCTTCCGCGAAATGGGAAGGAATGCCTCAAAGGTAGAGAGCTTGGATTTCACCCTTTGTCAGCTGCACGAAGCTGCAGCGGCACTTTGCACAGATGGATATGATCAAGTACGGAGTCACGTCAAGTCCTCCTCAAGTTTCTCCATGTTAGGACACGAACTGGGTGCGCCTGGTGAAGTTGTTGGCCATATGCCTCAGTCTGCCTCCATCGTTGCCAAAAAGGTGGAGGTGAGTCGGCTATCTTTTCCTGCAGGGCGACCGGAGTTCGACCCTACTGCTTTGTATTCTGAACCTCATAGCACTGTGTATAGGGACCCTATTAGTCTGGCTATGTTGGCATCGGAAGCTGATGAGCCGCCTAAAGTACGAGTTCATGGTTCGTTTGATGAAGCAATGTCTTTATTCAAATTTTTGGACCACCACCAGCGACTGAGACTGGCCCCGGCATCCCAGGTGAGAAAAAACCATTTGTGCGGAGCTTTTGCACTGGTGAAGGACAGCTTGAAAGACAGACTGATCGTGGATGCTCGTCCTCCAAACAGCTTAGAGCAGACTTTGCGGACGTACACGCAAACTTTAGGAGCTGTGTCAGCCCTGCTTCAAATTGAGTTGGAGCCTGCAAATCGTCTCATGCTTCACGGCACAGATCTTAGGGATTATTACTACTGCTTTCGAGTGACAAAGCAACGGGCTTATCGGAGTGCTTTTCGTTTTCCCCTGTCTTTTGCTCAAGCAAGTGAATTCAACTGTTTTGACTCTACGTTGGCTGGAGATGTGTTTTACCCTTGTTTGAGTACAATGGCTATGGGAGACAACAATGCAGTAGAACTAGGACAAGGTGCACATGTTCTTCTAGGTATGCAGTCTGGTCTCATTGCAGCAGAAGAACTTCTTACCATACATAGCCGCGCTCCCCGGGGTCTTTTAGCATGTGGCATTGTCATTGATGATATCTTGTTTGCGGAGAAGGTGCCGCGGTTCCTTGACCCTGCAGCGCCTACAGAAGGGAAACGACGGCTGCTGGGCATGTGTGAAGAATACTCTCAAAGGGGCCTTGCAGCACACCCGCAAAAGACCTTCTCTGGTAGTGACCATGCTGAAATTTGGGGGCGTCTGTAGATGGGCTGAACGGCACCGTGAGGTCTTCTTGCAAGAAACTTGTTCCTTTGATCGAGTTGACTTTGCGGACTGCCCGCATTCAGCATGCCACAGTGGAGCTCCTGGAGATCTTAGCTGGTTCTTGGGTAGCAATACTACAATGCCGCAAGCGCATGATGTGCTTGTTGGATGAGATCTATGTAGCGCAGCAAGGGAGGCCTGCAACAGCTATTGTGCGGCTGTCACCTCCCTTAATAGATGAGCTGTGGCTGCTGGCTGTTTTGTCACCCTTGGCCGTGACGGATCTAAGAGCTGGGAGCTTGGAGCAAGTGTTTTTGTCTGATGCATCGGAGGAGTTCAAAGCTGCAGTGAGCTGCAAGGTGAGCAAAGTTTTTGCAAAGGAGCTGCAGAGGCATGCGCTGACCCGTGGAGCCTGGAGCCGCCTGCTGTCACCATGGAAGGTGTGGTGCCGCAACTACGGCCAGCTTTTTGTTGAGGAAGAGCTGCCAGATGGGGTCCCTCTAGTCAGCCATCCATTGTGGCTTGCAGTTGCTCAGACCTTGCAGTATCAGTTGTTCCTACGACGACGTGTACGCCGCAAGCGGCACATCAACTTGCTGGAATTGGAGAGCATCCTGGAGGTAGAAGAGAGTTTGACCAGTCAGCGCTCAGATGTGCGCTACTTACTGGGCTCAGATTCACAAGTTGCGCTAGCTGCAGTGTTGAAGGGGCGATCATCTTCTCCCCATCTGAACCGGCGTCTACAGCGGAGCTTAGCCACCTTGCTTGGAGGGGGCCTGTATGGCAATTATGGTTTTGTGCCGTCTTTGGCCAATGCAAGCGACGACCCAACACGACGACAAGCTATACGAGTCCCAGAACAACCTACGCCTGAGTGGTTGAGAGCAGCTTTAGATGGTGAATTCAGTGGTTTAGATCAGTGGCTTGGAGCCCAAGGCTATGACCCACTGCGTGTAGCCGGTTTAGATTTTCTGCAAGAACAACCTTTGGAGAAGCAGGCAGTAGTGGAACATGTGGAGAAACTGAAGCGGGTGCAAAAACCCGAACGGATGAAACAATTTTTGGAGAAGGCAGTAGCTGATGTACAGAGTAGCTCTGAATTAAACGGCTGTCTTGACAGTGACTCCCTGCGTGTACAGGATTCATCTTTTTCTAGGTCTGCATGTAGTGCCGAAGTTTGTACAGACAGTAGGACCAGGAGTGAAGAGGTAACGAACAAAAAAGAACAAAAAAGAGAGCAACAAGAGAGCATCAAGAGCCATCAAGACCTCACTGAGGCACCGCCCACCAGTGGCGGGACTGAAAAGGCCAACCAGGGTTGTCGGGTAGCTCCTCCCGAGATGTTAGGTCAAGGGGTAGCTCCTCCCCAAGGTATAGAGGTAGTAGCAGGTAGTAAGACACCTAGCTCGTTAGAGCTCCCCCCGCACGTAGACCGTTCACATGCTGCCATGGCTGAGAATCCGAGATCGCCGCTGCTGACGGCTGAACAGCGGAGAGCGTTGCAGAAGATTCCTGGGCATGTTTTCCTTCTACCTGGCGGAAAAAGGGCACCCACCACTATGGATCCGTCGTTGTTTCAACGGCGCGGAGTGCTGGATCTCTACAGCGGAGCTGCTGGGACTGCAAAGGCAATCAGTAAGCGTTTCCATGTTTGGGTGCTGACGGTGGATTTCTCTTATGGTGCTGAACAGGACCTCCTTGACCCTGAATTGCAAAAGCTTTTACGAGATTTAGCAACTCAAGACCTTTTTCTTGGTTTGGGAGCTGCACCAGAATGTTGCTCTTTTTCTCGAGCTGTCACCCCCGCAGTGCGTAGCGCTGCGTGGCCAGAAGGAAGACCTGATTTGACAGGAAACATGGCTGAGAAAGTGGCTAAGGGAAATAAGCATGCCGAGTTCCTGTTTAGTCTCTTGGAGATTTTTGTCAGCAAGGATTTGGCGTACTGGTTGGAGAATCCAGACGGTTCTTTTCTCTGGCTGTTACCAGCATGGCTACATTCAGGTTTGTGCAGTCCTAGCAAAGCCTTTCGATTTGACCAGTGCAGGTATGCAACACCCTGGAGGAAGAGAACTAGGATCCTCACCAATACATGTTTACAGGATGTCAGGGCCTTATGCCTTGGAGGACATAGCCATTTGCAGCTGCGGGGCCATTCAGCGGCCCACCGAGTGTGTTGGACCAGAGTCGCACAGACTTATCCTTCAGCTCTTTCTTCTGACCTGGCCTCAGCAATGGGAATGCGTATGGGCTTGTGCAGCAAGCAGCTGAAGCTGCGCATTGCGTCTTGCGCAAAGTGCAATGAACGGGTAGGCGAAGCTTCTCACCCGGGACCTCAGAGACCAGCCCAGCGGCAGCCTCGCTCTTTAGCTGAGCTAGAAACGGTGCAACTGGTAAGCAATCAGACGCGCCACTTGCAAGAACGGGTTTGTGGAAGTTTTCAATCATGGGTGGCAGGACAAGTTAGTCCAGAAGCCGCGGCACAGCTTTTTCTTTGCCCCCAGGTGGCTACTGCTGTTTTGTCAAACTACGGTAAGTTTTTGTTTTTGGAAGGGGCCCCTTTGTATGAGTTCCGTCATTTACTGGTGCTAGTGCAGCAGAACTTTGCTAGCATGCGTCAGCATCTGGGTCCCGCTTGGAGGGTCCTGACTCAATGGGAAGAAGTCCAACCGCTGAAACATCGAAGACCGCTTCCTGAGCTGTTATTCAAAGCGATGTTCAGCATTGCCATGTGCTGGCGCTGGAAGCGTTTTGCTGCAACCCTTCTCCTAGCTGTTGAGGGCATAGCTCGCATAGGCGAGGTCCTGCAAGCAACTCGGGAAGATTTAGTACTACCAAGTGACGTTTTTGACAACAGCCGGCCAGTGGCCTTTGTGCGAGTCAAGAAACCCAAGACCTTTAGACGTGGAAAAGGCCGAGTTCAGCATCTGAAGATCTCCAATGAGCAGGTCATTAAGGTGCTGGAGAGAATCTTTGGGCCGCTGGACTTTAGCCTCCGGCTCTTTCCCCACTCTGCTTCAGCTTTTCGCCGGCGTTGGGAAAAGATCTTAGATACACTGGCTGTTCCAAAGACTCAACGACCCACCCCGGCAGGGGTGCGAGGAGGTGGGGCAATTTTGGCCTACAAACGTGGAGAACCTATCCAAGACATCATGTGGCGAATACGACTGGTGTCTCAAAGTACTTTGGAAAGTTACCTCCAAGAGCTGGCGGCAGAAAGCCTTTTAGCGAAACTCCCGGAACACTGCAGATCAAAGATACGTAGTGCAGCCTCTTTTTACCCTCTGTGTCTGCAGTCACCTGGCTAAGCCAACCATGTACGCACGTACTCAAGGTGACGGCTCCTTTTAAAAGTGGAAAGGGGAGGTGCCACTTGTTAGTGAAGCTGCAGTGCCAGTATGTTTTTGAATGATATACAGGCTTCCGAGCTGCACCTTTTTCACTGTTGGCACTCCATGGTGCGATCGACCCCAGAAGCTTGAAGAGTGTGCAGACTGCAAAAGAGGTGAGCGGAGGGCTATGTATGTCTCTGCATACATTTCCCGTTGCTCACAGCAAAATTTGGGCCCAGCCCAGCCCATCCCGGAAAGGGGAGGTGCCACTTGTTAGTGAAGCTGCAGTGCCAGTATGTTTTTGAATGATATACAGGCTTCCGAGCTGCACCTTCTTCACTGTTGGCACTCCATGGCGCGATCGACCCCAGAAGCTTGAAGAGTGTGCAGACTGCAAAAGAGGTGAGCGGAGGGCTATGTATAAATATATATAAATATATATTTATTTAGCAATTTTTGATCATATCATATTCATTATTGTTGGATTAATAAATATCACCAGATATTCTGATTTGCAGCACTGACATTATGATTATTACCACTTCTATGGTTGTTTTATGCTCATGCACACTGGGAGGTTTTAACACGATTATTCACTATATTGGGATGAGATCATCATGGGAATATTGGAACATTTGGAATCTCACGCGATCAAGGATATTTTCTATGATGGTGCTGGGCCTTTCTGCCCTTGGATGTCCAATCCTGGCTTTGATTTCTTTGTAATCGAGAAGCACCAGCCCTGCATCTTGTCAACGACAAGAAAGTCACGCTGGAAGACATGATTGGTTGAAATCATGAATCCACGCCCTTGCAGCCCTTGCAATTCAGGCAGTGTGTTGGGTCGAGGGACATCGCTGGTGGTGAGCAACGCTACAGCATTTTCCCACAGAGTGTCTGATGATTTGCCATCTGCCACTCGTCACATCCTTGGATCATCTTGGGTGGTTCAGGTGCACTGGGAAGCAAAAGTAAAGATTTCAAATGCGTACATAGTAAAGTTTAGTAAAGTAATACAGTATATAATTAGTCTAGAATGTTCTAGATGAACTGAATGCTCTAGGTGACCTGAAAGTACAGGGAAGTATCATGCGCATCTGTTTGCAAATGCATATATGAAGGTGCGTACCTAATACACCCCCCGCCCCCAAAAAAACAGATGTATAGAAAAGCAAAATCGTACTAAAATAGTAGTGATGAACTACGCTTTCTATTCTTTTGGATAGCTGTATGTCTGGTATGGTTTGGTGTGGTGTGGTGTGGCATGGAGTGGCGTGGTATGGTGTGGAATGGCGTGGTATGGTATGGTATGATATGTAAGTGTATGTAATGGTATGTAAATGTATGCAATGGTATTTAAATGTATGATAATGTATGTATATAATGGTATGTAATTTACGTAATTGTATGTAATGATATGTAATGGTATGTAATTTACGTAATTGTATGTAATGATATGTAATGGTATGCAATGGTATGTAATGGTATGTAATGTAATGTGATGTAATGTATGCATGTATATATACACGTGTGTGCGTGTGTGTGTGTGTGTATTCATATTGAATACACACACACATATATATTTACACATATATATACATATAAATGAAAATATAAATATAGATAAGCACACACACACACACATATATATATATAAGATAAGATACATGCACCGCATGCATGCAGAAAGCTTACATACGCTAAACAGGTGGATGCTTGGTGTTTTGGGTTCACATGAAGTGATCGACGTCTCAGTGTTGTATCCAGTCCTTGCCTCGCTGAGACCTTGGCAGTCCACTGCGAAATATGTAGCAACTTGGCGTCAAATATCACAGCTCACATGTTGCGACTGGTGCTAAGAAACCTTGTAGCGTTACTAATTGTTACTAGGTCTTTCAAGTTGACACAGGTTCACAAGTTTAGAAAGTGTGGCACTGCAGGCACAATCATGCAGGGCATTTTGGACGTCGCCCATGGCCTACTTCATGCGGATGTTTTGGTCATGGACTCAGCCGTTTGCAACAACTGAGAGTGCGCCATGGCGCCGGCAATGACTGCTGTTCTGGTGCACTTCCAGAAGGAAGTTGAGTACAATTAGGAATAGAACTCCTGGCAGCTTCCTATCGTTACTTTGCTGTTGTGGACCTTATTCACATTGGCTGGAGATAGAGAGAGAGAGAGAGCGAGAGCGATAGAGCCAACCGGATACAAATTCCATGTGGCCCTCTGGGGCCATCTTCAGCCTGTGTTCTCCAAGTTGCATCAGCTTCTCTCTGCTGCAACGCCGGGTTTCCATCGCTTGGGTGCAGCAGCCTTCGCGCTTGGCGCTGCTGTAGCTACCTTGCTGTTGGTCTTGCTAGTCTCCTGGCAAGGTCGCAGTTTGGTTGTTCTAGTGATACCACGAACAAGACTAGCTGATCATCAGTTTTGGTGTGTGATTTTGACTCATTTCGATAGGCTACGGTATGATAGGGTCATGCTGAAAATGACAAATATATAGGCCTGGACAGGAAGAGATAAAGCAGGATGAAACGACAGACAGACATAGAGAGGTAATTGGTTTGATGGACAGATGGCAGATGGAGAGCCGAGAGATTGACGAGCATATGCTGGAAGATGAATCTGCATGTGCTTCTCCACCAAATCGCCTCCTTGATCTTAGTCGTGGATTTAACTACTACAGTGTTTTCTTCGGGTTGGAATGCATGTCCAGAAGGCAGACAAACTTCCCCAGCTCAAGTGGCTCCGAGGATGTGTACTCTTTGCTGGCCCTTGGCCGCCAAGCTGTATCATTGCGCATGGGTGTGCCGCTCCTCCACTATGCAACTGCCGGTGTCCTTGGGCAGGTGTGGGGCACAGAGGCCACATCTCACCAGTGCAGTTACTCAACTCACCATAGGCCACCAGGCACAACCTGAAATGCCCGACACTGAAGTTGGTCAGAAGCTGGATTTCATCATTCCATACTTTCTTGAATTTATGTGAAATCATTCTTCATATACTTCCAGGTGCTTTGTTTCCAAACAGCTAAATACATCCCATTACATCCCCATAAACAGCTTCAACAACATCTAGTGGCGTTGCGTGGCCGATTCAGGTGCTGGAGCAGCTGGTGATTCTCTTCCTGCATGCTGTGCTGATGGCTGGCATGTCCTTTCAGCTGGAGCTGGCCAACGACTTTTGGCCCGAACTGCACTGCACCCGGAACAAAGAAATCGCAGAGACACTTGGCTTATTCTGGCTGAATGCTTGTTAGACTATGATATATTATGATATATTATTAGATTATATGTTATTATGATATGATATGTTTGATTATGGGATAACTCTGTCTATAACTATTGCGCATACCTTTCTAAAACTCAAGTGTCACACCGACATGTCGCACACCGCCACGGCATTTGTGGCCGCCTCCTTCGAGCGCTAGGAGCGAGCACAACGCCTGGCATCAGACTGTTCGCTGGACGGGCACCGCACTGGTATTCTTTGCTGCTCAGACCGGGTGCTGGAGATTGCTAGAGCTATTCCATAGGAAGGATGGTGTTGGGAGGGTTTTGAAGACCTTCAATGACCTTCATGAACATATTGTGACATATATGCCAACTATCAACGTGATGAACTAAGTGATGAACTAAAAAGTGAACTGTGATATTTACCAGTTCAGTTATCATTTAGGATATCCTGTGATATTTACCAGTGATAATTGATGAACTGTGATATTTACTTTGTCAAATTATCCTAGGATGGTCTCAGCCTCTCAGTTTAGGCCGCTGCTGTCTCAATTCTACTAGCCGCTGCGCTGATGGGAGGCTTCGCTTACCGGGCTCACAATTCATTGCCACGCCTCTTGGATAAGCCTACAACATTCTCACAACATTTGCGACATATGAACGATTGGGTTTGATTTTGATGTTTTAAAAGTTTTGTCAATGTTTGAACACGTCTGAACTATTTATAATTAATTCTGTTTTCATTTGAGATGATCCTTCGACTTCCCAGGTTGGGCTGTTTCGCTCGCCTGCCCTAGCGACGTGAAGTTGTCGCGCTTCGTAGCAACTCCATCCTTTTCAGAGTGCAGGCAGGTGCCCCATCGTGCTCCACATTTTCTGCCAAAGTGCAGAACCGACTGGATATGACTGGATTGCTTGTTGTCGAGCCAGGCACGAACACCTAGCAGTGGATCCAGATGTGCTCAGCTACAAGCTCGAAGCTGAGAAGTCTTATGCTCTACAGACAGCGAAAAACACTTTAGCAAACAGCTACAAGGAAGCAAAAAGCTTCAAAAACGTTCGGCATTTCCTGTTACCAGACTTTGTTAGGGCATTGGCAAGACCTATGTTGGGTGCTTTGGCATCTCTTGGCATTTGGCATCGGAGCAGCAGCGTAGTCTTTCAGGTTGGGACGCACATTGAGATGCACTGGGCTGGGTAGTGTAGCATTGACGAGATGATAAATGAATATAAATGATAAAAGACGATAAAGGATGATATCATGTCACAGTATTGAGTCATGGATCGCGAGGATTTACGATGTAGTATTGTTGCGTGCATGATTTACACAGCTTTCTTGGCCTAGCGCTGGATCATGCCTGTGACAGGTTGTCAAGCGGCAGGATTGGTACTTGCCCTCAATGCCAGACGATTCATCCAGGACGTGCGTTTTCCCATCGGATTGCGTGAGTTGGTACCTGGCAGAAATTTGGACCGGCCTTTTTCTTGGCTTCATTTTCCACTTTTTTCCTTATTTCAATCCTGCCCGGAGTATAGACTTAGCCTTAGGTTCAATTGCCAAGTTGTGCCCCATAGAGGGTGCAGAGATGACATGAAATGACCTGGTCAGAGTCAGACTTTCGAAGTGACTGGAATGTTTGCCCCCTGAGGGCGAGCGTGGCGACCGCGACAGCAAACAGCCTGTCTGTATCGTGGCTTTTGCTGCCCTATGGCGGTCTACCAGCAAGAGCATGTCTGTACCTCAACGAGCGCGCCCTGGCACAAGTTTCGCAGCCTTAGTCAAGACTACAATGCTGTGGCTTTATTATGGCTTTATTCTGTTTGTCATTGTTTGCCACAATCGGCTGCTCTGCTTCAACAGGAACTGGTGCTGTTGGTTTGCCAGAAGTTCCATGAAATCGAAGCCAAGGCATTCTTTTTGCGTCTGGAACCGATGGTGGCCTAGCTCAAAGCATAGTGCCCATGGTAACTTCCGCAGCACAAATGCTGAGGTAAAACGCTTGTGACAACATAATTCTGCCGCCTGTCAACCTGATTAATCTATATAACCTGTAAGGATCTGGACAGTGTGTATATATATATATATTTATTTATTTATATAGATTAATTATTGATTTATTTAGCTATTCTCAACTGCCAGACGGTAGATCGCAGTAGATTCGACTTGACATATGACTCCAAAAGTCTTGCTGAGGTGTATGTTGCCTACATCGGTCGTTTTCAGACGAGTGAATTTTAGTTAGCTGTATCGTCGCACACGTGTGGCCGGGTGCCAGCATGGGCTGAATTGATTTGGTGGAGTTTTACAATTTTTGCTGCTTTTGTCGTACTCGTACTCGCTACTTTGATGTTGCATACGATGGGGACAGCTATCGAGCTGGAAGGTGGCAGCTCAG